GAAACAAACCCTGCAGAAACGTGGATAATTTTTTCCACATTCCTGGGTTGCATTGGCTCTCCAAAGAGACCAGCAAAAGCTGGGAAGAGCAATGGGGCAGAGAAGTGAAGAGGAGCAAGGAGGGAGAGTGAGACCTGATAAGCGTGCAAGGTGGTGTGCCTGTGACCAGGCTCACATTACAAAACTTGAGACTTGAAATTTCAGCTGCAGTCTTAATTCAGTTCACTCTCTTTTTGTCACTATGGCTTTCTCAGGGTAAATTACACCCACAGCTTGTTCCCAACAATGGAAGCAATTAAAAGCACTGTTTACTATCCACAGAGCCTTAAATAGTTGAAATCTAATTACTTCCAAAAGGCTTTCCTTCTTCTGTCCTGTGGTGACCCCAGCACTAAATAGAATTGCTTTGGCCGTCTTGCCTAGGGATAAACACTGAGGAAGCTGGAAGCAAAATAATGTCTCTAGAAGGCATTTTCCTGAAGAATTCGTTCCTGACAGAATATATGCTAAGCCTGAACTTGCCCACATTTGGTACACAATGTAAAATAATTCTCCGTGAACATGTTCTCCACTAATAACAGGCCCTGGAGTCCTTGGCATTCAACCTACTGTTGTCTTTGTCCTTTAACATCGTGTGCCATTGACTGAGCATGCGCCCCACAGCCTCCCACCCAGCCTCGGAAATCCTCCACTCTGCCTATACCTCCTGCTGCTGCCCGCACCAGGCAGTGGGGTGGGTCAAAACTCCCCAGGAGGGAAGCAGAAAGACATGACTTTCTCCGGCCATTCCAGTCCTCAAGTTTGGGACTGACACGGTTCCCAGGCCAGGAGCAGCCTGGAGGACATTTCCTTGGGTTGGGGAAGACCCTCAGCCACACACGGACACGAAGCCATAATCTTTTGCATTGGAGATACACTCAGTAAACCACAACCACACACCATTATCCCAGCGGCATCTGCATATGTGCTGCATTTCTACTTGGCCCGCAGTCCATGAGTTGCATGTGGAGAGCCCTCCCATGTACCAAACTCTGCTGTCATCTGCACTGGTGCTACACAGCAGGGGTGCTGGCCTCTGCAGCACAGATTTTGAAACATCTGTATGCTGAGCCTCTGATTACACTCGCCACGTGAAGAGATTACAGATGCCTTTCTCTTTCTTTTTGACCTTTCCCCATGTAGGTCTGAGCTGACATTGTCAAACAGCCTGAGGTACCCTGCATCTGCTGCTGTGTAGTGCTCTTTGGAGCTTCATGTCAGGAGTGATGTAGGTATATCTGGGCCTGTCATAAGGAAGATGAAAGGACCAGGAACTTCTTAAAGTTCCTTCCAGCTTTTGATTAGTGTTTCTTGTGTTTCAGAAGATGATCCACTTCAAATTGTATTGATGGATTTGTAGAAAATGCAGCTGCTTCTTGCAATTCCTTTGACTTTATCTCATCTGTGAACTTCAACATCGTTTGAGTCCTACTATATTTTTCTATGTTCTCTATGTAATTTATATTTGTGTAGTTATCCAAATAGAGACAATTCCTTTTCCCTGCTGAAAATAGGTGAAACATCTTTACACCCATGGAAAAGAACACTTTTTTCTGCCTGACTTACATAATTTCCCATAATTTGCCCAACTTTGAGATCCCAAACCTTCTGTTTTATTATATTTAAAACTTATTTATTGCTTCTTTATGTATTTTTCTCACATTTATTATTTATCTCAGCTTCATTCAGTCATAAACACTGTTAAGTTCTCAGATAAAAAAGTATTCATGTTAATTTACTTGTAGAATCATAGAATTCTTGGGGTTGGAAGGGACCTTCAAGCATTATCTAGTCCAAGCCCCCTGCAGTGACCAGGGACATCTTCAACTAGATCGGGTTGCCATCTAACCTGACCTTGAATGTTTGCAGGGATGGGGTATCTACCACCTCTCTGGGCAACATGTTCCAGGGATTCACCACACTCATTGTAAAAAACTTATTCCTTACAGCTAGTATAAATCTACCCTCCCTTGGTTTAAAGCCATTACCCCTTGTCCTATCTCTATATGCCCTTGTAAAAAGTCCCTCTCCAGCTTTCTTGGAGGCCCCCTTCAGCTACTGAAAAGCTGCTATAAGGTATCCCTGGAGCTTTCACTTCTCCAGACTGAACAACCCCAACTCTCTCAGCCTTTCCTTGTAGCAGAGCTGTTCCATCCCTCTGATCATTTTTGTGGCCCTCCTCTGGACCCGCTCCAATGGGTTCCTGTCTTTCCTGTGCTGAGGGCTCCAGAGCTGGACGCAGGACTCCAGGTGGGGTCTCGCCACAGCAAGGGGGCAGAATCCCCTCCCTCGACATGCTGGACATGTTTCTTTTAATGTATCCCAGGATACGCAGTTTATCAGCTCATGTCCATCTTTTCACCCACCAGTACCCCCAAGTCCTTCTCGGCAGGGCTGCTCTCAATCCTGTCATCCCCTAGCCCGTATTGATAGTGGGGGTTGCCCTGACCCAGGTGCAGGATCTTGCACTTGACCTTGTTGAACCTCATGAGATTCACACAGGCCCACTTCTCAAGCTTGTCCAGAGTCCTCTGGATTTGATCCCGTACCTCAGGCGTGTTGACACTCAGTTTGGTGTCATCTGCAGACTTGCTGAGGATGCACTCAATCCTGTTGTCTAGGTCACTGATGAAGATATTAGACAATATTTGTCCTAAGATGGACTCCTGAGGGACACCACTTGTCACCGATCTCCATCTGGACATTGAGTCATTGACCACTACCCTCTGGATGTGATCATCCAACCAATTCCTCATTCACCTAACAGTCCACCCAGCAAATCCATAGCTCCAATTTAAAGAGAAGGATGTTGTAGGGGACCATGTCAAAAGCCTCTCAGAAGACCAGACAGACAAAATCCATAGCTCTTCCCTTGTCCACTGATCTAGTCACGCCATCACAGAAAGCCACTAGGTTGGTCAGGCAGGACTTGCCCTTGATGAAGCCATGCTGGCTGTCTCAAATCACCTCCCTGGCCTCCACGTGGCTTAGCATAACTTCTTAGAGAATCTGTTCCATGATCTTCCCAGGCACAGAGGTGAGGCTGACAGGTCAGTAGTTCCCAGGGTCCTCCTTTCTACCCTTTTTAAAATTGGGCACAGTGTTTCCCTTTTTCCAGTCACCAAGGACTTCACCTGACTGCTATGACTTCTCAAACATGATGGAGATTGGCTTGGCAACGACATCAGCCAGTTCCCTCAGGACTCTGGGATGCATCTCATCAGGTCCCATAGACTTATGTATGTTCTAGATCTTCAGGTGGTCACAAACCTGATCTTCTCTTGCAGTGGGAGGGACTTTGCTCCCCCGGTCCCTGACTTGCGGTCCATCTACTCGAGAGATGTGGGAAGAGAGATTGCCAGCGAAAACTGAGGCAAAAAAGTTGTTGAGTACCTCAGCCTTCCCCTCATCTGTTGTTACCAGTTTTCCAGTCTTGCTCATCACAGGGGGTACGCTTTCTTTGCTCTCCCTTTTCTGGATGGCATGCCTGTAGAAATCCTTATTATTCTACAGCTGCACATTGGCCTTCCTGACACCATCACTACACAACCGAGCAGTGTCCCCATACTCTTCCCAAGATACCTGTCCCCGCTTCTGCTGCCTATGCATTTCTTTCTTGTCGTTTATGTCGATCAGCAGGTCTTGACTCAGCCATACTGGTCCCTTGCCTTCCTCCCTTGCCTTCCTTGCCTGATTTCTGATGCCTGGGGATTGAGAGCCCTTGCACTCTATGGAAAGTGTCCTTAAACATCTGCCAGCTCTGTTCTGCTACCTTGTCCCTGAGGGCAGTTTCCCATGGGGTCCTACTAACCCCTTGAAGAGCTGGAAGTCTGCTTTCCTAAAATTCAGAGTCCTGACTTTATTCTTTGCCTGACCCTTATCCCTCAGGACTGCGAACTCCACCAATGCAGGTAACTTCAGACCACACTGCCTCCAATCCCACATCACCGATTAGCTCATTTGCATTGGTGACCATCAGGTACAGTATCTCATCCCCTCTGGCTTAAGAAGTTATCCTCAATGCCTCAATGCACTCCAGGAGTCTCCTGGATTGCCTACAGCTCACCGTGCTACTTTTCCAGCAGATGTTGGGGTGGTTGAAATCCCTCAGAAGGACAAAAGACTGTGAGCACAATGCCTCTTGTAGCTGGAGTAAGCAGGTTTCATCAATAGGTTCCCCTTGGTCAGGCTGCTTGTAGTAGATACCAACCATAAGGTTTCCTTTGTTTTCTCAGTCTCTGATTCTTACCCATACGCCTTCAACCTGCTTGTGGCTATTCTTCCAAGACAACTCTTCACACTCTATCCATTTCTCGATGTAGAGGGAAACGCCTCCACCCCTCCTATCTCACCTGTCCCTTTTGAATAGCGTGTAGCCATTGATGGCTACACTCCAGTTACGGGATTCGTCCCACCAAGTTTCAGTAATGGCAACTAGGTCATAGCTTTCTAGGTGGCTTCCAGCTCCTCTTGCTTGTTGCCCATGCTACATGCATTGGTGTAGAGGCACTTCAGCTGGGCTGTCAGCTGCGTCACCTTCTTAGAGGAACACCCCTCAATTCCTTTGAGGTGTATCACTGATGTTTCCCTGTTGGCCCCTACTACCCAAGGAGCCCCTGGCTCATCTCCTCAAGACTTCAGGTGTGCTGCAGTGTACCCAGTACATCTCAGGGCAACAGACCGAGGGCCCTCACTAGCACCCTGTCCCTCTAACCTTGGCGTGTCATCTCACTGCTGGTCATGGTCAAGCCTGATATTGTCCCCCTCCCCCTTCAAGTCTAGTTCAAAGATCTGTCAGTGAGCCCCACTTATTATGTATGTTTATCTTTTAGAAACAACCATATGTATTTCATGTGTCTTGGATTATTTAGTGGAAATGCTGTTTCATGCCATGTAAATAATCTGCAACTAATCTCCTGGTGACTTCTGGTAAACCACGATGTTCATTCATTTCTTTTTAGATCACACTGACAACCATTGGCTATGGAGACAAAACTCCTCTTACTTGGCTTGGAAGGTTGCTTTCTGCAGGATTTGCTCTACTTGGCATTTCTTTCTTTGCACTACCTGCTGTGAGTATGCTCATAAAACTTGTAAAAAGGTAACAGAAACTTCCATAGCTTCTATGCTGTTATGATGCAAAAAAGCTGAAGGAAGCTCGCTACATGAAGAACAATCATTTTAAGGCATTTTGCTCTGTGACAACACTGGTGAACTGCTGTGCAAAATCCAAATGAAAGGTTTGATGTTACTGTCATTGCTTGAGTTTTGGAGAGTTTCTTTGGCAAGGACGAAACTGGGAAATAATCCTAAATTAGGTACCATACTATTGTGTAAGGTTGAAATTCCTTTATTTCGTTGTGAATTGTGGCTCATGTATTGCTGTTTTTCTTTTAGATTTTTGAAAAAAATCAGCTGATGTATTTTTCTGGATAACATTCTATTGGAAAAAAGTGAGATGTTTCTAATAGGTTGTCTTGCATTACCATATTCAGGCTAGAAACAGAGAGCAGTAGAAGGCATTAAATCAAACAAAAGCTAATGTCGTTGAATATAAAAGTGCAACTATCATTTTCTGTCAATGATTGTAAATAAACAAGACAGTTTATTGACGTTGCCTTTATCAATGTCCAAAAGATTTTAATGGAAATGGGAATCATCTAATGACAGAAGTATAGCGTAGCTTCAGCAATAACGTTTCATTTTTGTGAGTGAATTTCCTTTCTTTTTAAGTTAGTATTGAATAAGCAGGAAATCAGAAGTGACATTTGTATATTGTTGTATTGAATCCTGCGCAACATACATGGAAAATCAATATTTTAGTCCTCGGATTCATTATCTATAGATCACTATAAACTATGTACATTGTAATAATACATTTGTTTTCAACTATAGAGACAAACCAATATTAAAAGTCAGCATTTGCCAACAGCATTGAATCATCTAGTACTGCATTTATTTATTTTTCCAAGTATAGAGAGTATTTCAATATCTCTGGCATATTATAATGCATTACCTGTTTGTGGATCTTTGACAATTAATGACATCTACTGTAATTAATTCTCTTTGTTACCTAGTCACCAGTAACAAGAAAGTTAGTGTTAGCAGGACTACAATGACATGTAAAAGACAAATAACCTTATATATTAGAGATGCTAGAACTTTTGTTCCTCATGTCATATCTATGTACAGATACTCATTTTCCTCACAAACACTTTTGTGTTGAATCTGTCTGTAAAACAGGAAATGTTTTTATACGTGTGAATCTTGTGCATTTCTAATATTATTTTATCCTGACTAAGAATCAAGTGGAAATACTCTTCCCTATAATGCAGACACATCCAGTAGAAATATTACACTCCTTGCAAGCCAAGGAGGGAAATATTCTCAGTCTTTGGGTCTGTTCAGATCTGTTAATCAAGGCATTTTTCTAACTTTCCTAAAATCAAAAGTTATGATAAGCACTGCAGATATGGACTTTGAAGTCCATATATATATGGTATATCTGACAGGTGGTCATACCTGGCTTAAACTACTCTGAATGTTCCTGCCTAATGTTTTATACATACATATATATCCATGGCCCTTAAAGTTGCAGGAACATAGTGTAGCACAAACACAAGCAATGGTTGCGATGAGTGGTCATTGGTAGCGCAATGGATGTTATCTCTTAAGTAATGAGTCTCCTGTGCCGCCATGAACAGGCACTCTTGTTGAACCTTATACTGTCATAAACATGTTACCTGAAGCAATCATATGGTGTAACATCTTCACAAAACCTTTGTAGTTGACTGTATATTTGTTGAAAAACTACCTACACCAAACAAATGGTGTATTGTATTGCAGGGCATCCTAGGCTCAGGATTTGCATTAAAAGTACAGGAACAACATCGACAGAAACACTTTGAGAAAAGAAGGAATCCAGCTGCCAGTCTAATTCAGGTAAATATGAAATCAGTGAAAAGACAACAGTAAGTGACTTAAAGTACATATTGGAGCAAGTTTTATGATTTCAATTTGGAAAATTTTGTGGAAATAAGGTTTAACAGATTGGTTAGTTTCATGAAATAAGTTTGTTCAGTGATTGTCATGTGTTGCCATAATTGTGCATATAGCATTTCTAGGCATAGTTTTTGAGTTCTTCTACCCATGCTGAAGAAATCAAGTCAAGGATGTCCATTCCACGCCTGCAGTTAGCAAATTACTTGGAAAAGCACAATCGATCCCTAGACAACCCAACTAACAGCACAGCACTCTTACCTGTATTAAGCTCCTTTTCATCTACTACAGGATTTAGAGTGCTCCAATGAGTGGTATACTTGGTGAAAATGAAAAGTGTCCTGCCCAGAGAATTGCTTTCACTATAAGTCAATTCAAAAGCTAGTAATGTGTGTGCTAGCAATTTCAAAATGTCTGACATATTGTCTCAAGTAGTTTCAGCTCCAATATTGGCATGATGGTGAAGATGAACACTTTAGAAAGATTTTTTTTTAAGCAGAAGTGACATATTTGTTAAACAGCTGTTTTGCATGGGATTTTTGCTTAACTTACAGTGGTAGTTAAAAATGAGAAAATCCTCTAAAGAATGATCTTGCACCAAGCTTTACTCTACTGCATGCACCGACAAAAAAAAAGGAGGGAAATAATGTTCTAGCATTGTAGTTTATTTTCTTGGGATCCCAAGTCTATTATGTGTGTTATTTATGCTATTTTTTTAATTCTGAAATAATAAATTAAAATAAAGCAGCTGAGCATGAATATACTAGAGTTCAATGTTAAGTTCAGGATAGACACCAGGCTGCCTTTGAAGCATTCTTAAAGTTAATAAATGTTTTCAAGTATTACTGTTCAATGATTATTAAATACTAAATATTTGAGATTTAATATTTATTAGAATAATTAATATGTATAATTGCACTCCTTTTGTATATATTGTACTGTAGAATGACTGTCTGGGATATTTTCTAATGTATATATTCTAATCTACTTCTTCCAAGTTTGGTTGCCAGAGGAAACACACAGCAGATTTAGGTTTTGGCTGTAGCTGTTCCAATTATTGTGTGCAATTCAACCCAAATATTAGTAAGACAGTACGCTAAATAGAGTGAGTAGCTAGCTGACCAATTTCAGAAAGTGACTCTCAATTGGCAAAACCATTGTGAAGGGAAGACATTTGTGGTGGGATCACATGGTGAGGGCTGTTCAGCATTTACATTTGTTTTCATGTTCAGCATTTTCAGTGATCTGGAAATTAGTATAAAATTGCTGATGGAGATATTTGCCAATGACACAAGGCCTGACAGAACAGGAAAGATGAAGGGAGGCACACAGGAATGAACCTGAGGATGATCTGGGTGACTTTAAAGGGTGGAACGATTCCTACGAAATGTTTCAATACACCAAATACAAAACTTGATCTAGAAACAATGAATTCAGAGTATTACAAGAGGCTTTTAACCCAGTATTAATGACTCTGGAAAGGATCTGATGAAGGATGAGAAACACAGAAAAGAAAGAATGGGAAAGAATGGTCAAGAGCTTCATACAAGTTCCCAGTATGTTACTCCAGCTGGTTTATTACAGTCCTTAGGTACAGAACCAGAAAGGTAACAAGTAGGAGAAGGCTGATATTACCACTGTGTATGGTGATACTGGTACTAGCAAGCTACATATCAACTCAGCATCTACAGTTCGTAAATGAGACTGGAAAATTGGAGAAATCAAAGATAACATTGGAAAAAAATGAGTCCAGGACTGGAGAAAATTTCATGTTCATAAATGTAGGATGTGTCTGAACTGCATATCGCTGTCTACTGTAACAGTGCCCAGGCTTTTTCAAATTGTCTGTTGTGGATATTGATAATGAACTAGCATGGAAATCAGTGTGCTCTAGCTTATCAGGATAATGCCTATTTTCTAATCAGTTACTCTGTAGAATTAGTCTATACTAACTCCTCTGTTGCCGTAGATATACTGTCTGCTAGAGCCTTTACCTGACTTAAAGATAGCTAAGATGTCACTATAGAGAACTGAAACATTTCATATGGGTGTACTTTTCTCAATTTCTTTATCTTATAAGAAATACTCAGTGTGAATATTATTTTAACATAAAAGACCAGAAAGGAAGTACTGGAACCTACAGGACTATTTAATGTAGCAGACAGAAACGGAACAAGTATCTCTGGCTATAAGCCAAAACCAAAGAGTTTCAACTTACAAATAATGCAGATATTTTTGACAGTGAGAATGACCAACTAGTGGAAGAATTTACCAAGTAAGTGACAGGTTCTCCATCTGTAGATGAAGACTAGATGTATCTCTGGGAGATATGCAATAGGAAAACACAAGATATTAGACTTCATACGGGAATACCTGGATGACATTTAATGGTTGACAATATACAGGAAGCACAGATACTCAGCTAGTACAAATTAATATAGTTATGCTGACATCGGGGAAGCTGTTCCAGTTTGTAGAACCGGGGATCTGTCTTACTACCTACATGCAGTTATAAATCTAAATGGTGGATATATTTTCAATGCTATGCTTTGGTCTCTCACCTTTGAAATGATTTATTCCATGTTTTAAAACTTTTAGCAGTGTTTCAAACCGCAGAGAATACATTTCGTTTCTTCTAAATGCTTTTTGTCTGGTTTTCATTATCATTTACAAAATGTATTATGACACTTTCTTTACCTCAGACTGCAAGTTTGTGTGGGTGTCCCCTATGGACTTGTCACAAATAAATCATTGCAATGCTTTTCTGAGCACCTTATACCCTGATTATCTTCTGGTGCTTCCACAAAGCCAGTAACTCTTACTTTACTGGGTAAAGTGTACTGTTATTCACAAAAGTTTTGGTAGGTTTTTACTGGTATTTCCTTAACCAACCTAGTAGAGCAATCCCAATCTGAACAAAATCCCCTCTCTCCGTAATCAGTGCGGTGGCATTGTCACTTCATGTTCTTGGTTCCTTTGTGCTTTTCTATTGTTTCCCCATACCAGGCTTCTTGGCGGTTTTATTCTACCGACGCCAGCCGAACAAACCTGACAGCCACCTGGCGATATTATGAAAGTATTCTTCCTCCCCTCAGGCATGTATCAGTGCTATGAATGATAAAAGAAAGCCATGACTTGTATTGGTTACTAATCTGCTTTTCAATTTTTTGTTTCACCCCCTGCTCCCTCTTGCCTTGTTTTTCTTTTTTACCTTTTATCCTGCACGTAGTGTGTATGGCGTAGTTATGCGGCTGATGAGAAATCGGTTTCCATTGCTACCTGGAAGCCTCATTTGAAGGCCTTGCATACCTGCAGCCCTACAAAGTAGGTAAAAATATGGCAGCTGGTGCTGTTCTTGATGTCTGTTCAAGCTTATAGAAAATTACTATTTGTCTGTTTCGTCTTGTTTTGTCTTCTTGAGCCCTCCCATTAAAAATTTCAACAAACTAATCAGATCAGTGTTATGGAGGAGCCTAGGACAGTGGGACAAATACAAGTCTTTGTCATTTACCTGAGCACAGGTGTTGTTAGAAGCATTTTCCCAAAACCCCACTCGTATATCAAGGTTAATGTTTCACCCAGTTCAAATTATCTCTAAGGAGAAAAATTAAGATTAATGCAGAGCTTGTTCCTTGATTTAATGGTACCGTTATGCCTGTGCCTCTATATAAGGCTATAGCTACAGATCTACCTTTGGGAGGGAAGAGAGCCTTGTGGAATTCTGCAGGTGGGGAATTTGCTCCTTTTCATCATCACTTCTGGTATATTCAGTATTTCCTTAGGGCAAATTATATCTTCAGTTACATACACAGTGGGAGATGACTAAAAAGACCTTATGTCACAGTTTGGCAGACATGAAATATTTGATGTCCTTGTCTGGGTGAGAATTCACAGAGCACTGGCAGCCCAAGACTCTTCAATAATTCAGCAAAAGATTTATCAGAAGGTAGTAAGTTGACTGATTCAATACGGGGCACAAATCAGGAAGTAAAAGATACTCGATAAAGATCAAACAGGAGAATGCTAAGAGCCTTATAGGGAAGCTCTGATAAGCATCCTAACTGTTGTTATTGCAGACAGTGCAAGAGAATTAGTAGTTTCTCTCAAAGCTGGGTGATGAACATCCACATGACAGTAAAGAGGTAATCGTGTGCCAAACAGCTCAGCCAAAAAGAGGTTTGGCTGGGTACCCAAAGCTGATCTTTGAATTTCAAAGAGTTGACAAGAACAGAGCCGTGAGTAATCCATTACCATAACTGTAATTCCAAAATGCTCCAAACTAAGAGGAGCTTTTAGATTAAAAGTTACATGGAATACTGATTTTTAGCACAGACAAACAGGTTGAAGGCAACATTGGTATAAATGGATGGATGGATATAAAATTACATAAATCATGAAGCTGTATATAAAAATACGTAAATGATGAAGGTGTATTCCACCTAAAACATTCTAAAATATGACTGTCCCTCAAAAGTGCATCTACTTGTTATTTTAAATAAGTGTATTGCTGTGCTATCCTAAAATTAAACCTTTTTATTTAGCAGAGATAACTTTATCTAGTAAGAGCCTACAGCTTTCTGTTATATATGTGTCAGCAATGCATTTTGCCTAAGTGCTTTGCCAACTCAGTCTGCAGTGGTATGTACAAAGCATGTTATGCATGTGTTAAAACAATTGAAAAGTTTCTTTTTCAGAAACGTTGTAGTTACGAACCTTGCTTGAATGTTTCTGTGGTTGCAATGTAACGTGTGTGTTGTACGCTAATTAACACATCCATTTACGTTTATCATATATCTAACATCATCTGTAACTAAGTAATGTGATTACTATCTGCATAATAAGTATGTTTTTCCCTCCCACTCCCTGACCTGAAGAAAAGAACAAGGGGAAGCTTCTAGCAGGTTTGTAGCTTCTTTTATTTCTTTTATCTGTGAAATCATTGCTTCTTAATGGCTTTTAGGTGTCTCAGGTTCTGTACAGTACGTTCAATGAACTGTGACTGTTAACTGATAACAATCACAAACTGCATTTTTGTAAACTCCTATCAACAGATTAATGCTGCTGATATTTGCTTCTTGGTAGGGAAAAACTAGGCATTTTTCACTTTTTGACTTTGAGGGGGAGCTCAGTTCGAGCAATAGCAGAGTAGCAAGTGAAGCAACCCCCCCCAGACCCAGCTCCTGGGCAAGGATGCGGCCCCTGGCTTCTGCCATAAAATCGATGCTCACGGTTTCCAAGAGTCACAGTGGAAGCTACAGGCATGTAGTTGAATTTGGCTTTGTGAACCAGCCCATCAGGCTCCTGTTGCAGTGGGAGGAACCCCCAACGCAATGGCTGGCTGTCACCTCGGCAAGGGTCTGTGCTGCCCTGCAGGAGCATCCTCAAGGCTCCTTCAGTGCCACATCTCCACATTTTCCCAACTTTTTCCTGCCTTCCCCTCCTAAAGCGTATTTTGAGACACGGCAGCTGGGCTCACCTCCTCCCAGCCGCACGGTTTGCACACTCACGTGGCCCTGTTTGGGTGAAGGATACAGCCTCCATCTCTCCTTAAATAAGCCTCACCGCTGCCAGACGGGAGGACAGGTGGATTTCCACCCAGGCTGGATGCAGGCTGAGGACCGGCTGCCTGCAGCGTGCAGAGCCAGGCTTGGCAGGCTGAGCCTCCTGGGATAAATAAAGCCCTGGGGATGCACAATCCTAAGGCAGAAAAAGGAAGCGCTGCTCTTTGCCGTGTTTATAGCTCGAGTCCTTAGGGACAGGAAAGGGCTCGGTAGCTGCAAGAGAAATTATGCTACCTCTGAAACTCATTAGGGATGGGAGTCTGCAGGCTTTCAGCAGCCAGCACTGCAGTATCAGCATGATCAGAGAATAGTGGAGTTTACCTCTGAGCAGAAAACAATGAAAAAACAAGAAAAAACTTGTCGGTGACACATCAACCCCTGAAATAAATCCGCCTCTGAGTTGTACTGTGGTTCACAAACTCTTCTGGGTTATTCAGTCAGAGGTGGAATGTCTTCACATCAATTACGCATGTCCCGTTCCACTTTCCAGATTGCTCCTCTGACACCTGACTCCATCCTTTTTCCCAATGTGCGCATAACTGCTGTTATTGTCACAGTAACTCCAGGGGACTGGATGTGCTCTGAGATGCCTCTCATGAGCTCTTCACCTGCTCTGACAGTTCTGTGACTTTTCGCATACATTACCTCCATAGGTTTGCTAGCAACATATTGATCTCATTAAATTATTACAGCCTGACCCAAACATTTTGCAGTCACCAGCCGTATTTCCTACTCTTTCAAAAGCAACATTAAAGATTGACTTCAGCTTTTTTAAAGGTGAGACTGAAGTTTGCAGTAAATGAGTACGTACCTCCAAAACAGTGATTTGTGCAGAGGGGAGAGGTCATTCCCAGTTGTACTTGCAAGCACTTCAGTAGAAAAACTGTATTATTTTAGGTAACAGTTAATTATTTTCTTTCCCACCAAATTTACTTACAATAAGGAGATGGTAGATGCAAAAAAAACCCCAGCTGTCAACTATATTAAATGCTCCATGTTAGTGATAACTGTTGTGGTTTTAAAAGTAGTCAATGATTTAGCCACAGCTTTTCACTTTATTTTCACTGAAAGGAAGATGTTTGTCCCTTCAGAAACTGTTAACTAATATGTGCACTGCTGCAAATTAGTGTAGGTATATAAATGAACTAGTTAACTCCCGAGATCCTGATTTTCAGTAAAAACCCTACGGACAACTCAGTGCCTTTTAAAAAATGTGTGCTTTGTTCGTGGCTGTTTATTGTTCTCAGCTGATATTGCTCTATGTTTCTATCACTTAAAATACATGTGGTGTGTGTGGTCTTTTGTGGTAACAATGTAAATGCAAACTGCTGCAATGTACTTCGAGTTAACGGTCCTCGGCTATTTAACTTCTTTCTTACCGCAACACTGAGTGACTTGCATGGGATGCTATGTGAACTAAGTAAGCTGCTTCTTGTTTCACTGTTTCAATGAAGATGTGTTTGCACAAGAAGTGCATCGGATTGCTTTCTGAATATGCTCTTTGCTCTGTACTCCATTCTAATAACAGTGGAGAAAAACTTTTATTAGTTTAAGTAAAAGTTAATTATTTTCCTTCCTACCAAAATACCTTTTATATTTACAGAATTTCTTGCATTTTGTCATGTATAGTCCTACAGTCTTTCATTAGGTAACCAAATGTTGCTGTGCATTTGAGTTCAGAAAGCTGTGCTTGTGAGGCTGTAGCTTCTTATTGATTTTAAGAAAAATATGTATGATGTATCTCTCAAAATATTACGTATAAGTATTCTAATTAATCATTTATCAAAAGTAATGGCAGACAATCTCTCTGGTGTATCCACGCTATAAATGAGATATTTCTATAAATCAGTTCTAGAGTTCTGCAAATTATTTAAAAAGCCTATATGTTAAATTCTCCCTATCTACAAATGCACACACTGAACGCAGAAAATATTTATTTCTGTTCAGTTATACATAGTGGCTGAAATTCTTCCTGTGCAGGAAACTACATCAAGACTGATGAATCTTACAACATCCTGAGAGCATAAGCAGTCTTAAGCTGTGTGTAGGACGTGCATTGGGTGTCTGCAAAGGATGAATATCACCCACCTAATGTCGCAACTAGTGAGCCTGAATACAAATTCCCTGTTCAGACAACTCTCTCTGGTGAAATAAGGAGGAGTTTTGCCAGTACAGGAGCTTGGGGGAAAAACTCACCCCTGCTCTGAGGGAAACAAGTAAATTACACTCTGGAATTCCCTCCACCTCTTATACCATATCTGTTTCTAAAAGTAGATTTAATGTAAACTCTCTGCATGAACCATACGAAAAAGAAATTGCCGTTGATGCAGAATCTACCTTGAGGTGGGAAACCTAATCCCTTACCTAGCAGTGGAATGCTTAGTAACACGGTCCTCTATCTCCCCTCACTCCTAGTAAGCTTTGTAGTAATAAACAGAAGCTCTTCAGGATGTACACCCCTCGGAAACATAGGTATTCAGCATCCTGCCTATTCACATGATGTTTGAGAATGCCAACTAACATCAGGTGCATGATTCATTTACTTCTCCTCCTTAGTGCTTTAAAGTTCCTTACTTCTCCAAAGGATGTTTCTTAATTTATTTACTTTTGAGTGCTTGTAATTCCCTTGTTGCTTGTTGCCTGCAATGACATTAATACAATGGCAATAATACAGTTCTTTGCAACTCGTCCGGTTGGACAATTGCAGTGTGCAGCACGCTGCGATTTGCTGAAGCCCGATTCCCCTTCTCTGCCTGCGACTCGAACATTTGGAATGCATTACCCTGGGGAGATCAAAAACTGGGGCTGAATATTTGGCTAAAGACATTTCCCCAAGTCCAAGAGGATTTTTAGAACCACGACAGCTGAGTTCTTCTTCTAATAATGAGTGGGGAACGTTCAGCTGTAACACACTAGGCAATACCAACAGTCAAAAAGTGCAATTGCTGTTGAGAAGAATCCCCTTGGACACAGCCCATGGAAGCTGTGTCTGCATCCTGTGCTGGAAGGTAGAGGAATGCATGTGAAATCAACCATCTGCTTCAGCTGAATTCTGTGGAAATTGTGTCTCTTACCAAAAATGGTAATTCCTAGATGGATGGATCTTATGGGAAGAAACCTTTGATTTATAACTCAAGCTTATTACAATATTTTTCTTACTTTTTAAAAATAATTTAAAAGACGATAGAAGTACAAACTGATCATAGAAAATGGAGATGAAAAATAGTTTCTCTTCATCTGGAAACTGTTTTGAAAAAGCCAAAAATACACCAAACCCCTGAGCTTCCTTTGTTTTTTCTGTTCGGCGATTGAACTTTAAGACACTATGTCCCTGAAATTCTTGTTATTACTCATTGAAGGTATGAGATATAACACTACAGCTCTTCGGTTCATGGTCCTAGCATGAGACTGGTGGAGAAGTCTTGAATGTTTGAACTTCAGGCCTCACTGTACTGTCCACTGCATTTGCATTTGCTCTCCTTAGCTTAAATTCAGTCATCTGTGGGCTTGGTAAGAATCAACATCTGTATTTATTGGAAGTTAACTGCTGAAAATTGGCACGTACGTTTGCTTGCTGTTGTTTGGCATGGATGATAAATTTTGGCAGTTTTAGCTTCCGTCTCGACTCGAAATCCAAAGCATTCTCCCTCACCCTCAGGCCCTCCAGTTACTTCTGATTCATTTCAATTTCTTCCTATTCCCGCTTCTACCAGCTGGCTCAGTATGAAAAGCAGAAAAACAAATTGTAAATTGTGACTAGTAGCAAGCCGTAGTGCTGCAGGTCTGGGGCTGTAGCAGGGCAGAAGACAAACTTGAGCAGAAATGCAGGAAGGTAAAGCAGGGAAATAAGGGAGTAGGACTGGGAAGCAAAAAGATGCTCAGTTATCCAAAAAGTATAGTAAGATGGCCCACGGAAGACTGAAAGAGCTGTGAGTACAGAAGAGAAAAGCAAAGGTTTGCAGGCATTTATCAATTAAAACAAAATGCTATCGAGTCTAGTCGTTTGGTCCAGCAGCGAAGTGCTTGTTCCCCCTGCAGTGAATCTACAGTGACCTCTAGTGTCCCTGAACAGATTCCTTCATGAATCCAAGTGGAAAAGACAAAGTTTAAAGATGAAAGAACACATAGAAAGTCCTTTGCTATCCCAGGGAAGCGAATGGCTCAGGCACGTACTGACGGGGAGAATAAGCAGCAAGATCCTACAGCTGACCTTCCAGAAGGCAAACAAATAGGGAAAAGTCACTTGCTTTTTTCCCACAGGTGCCAGTTGTAATTGAGCTCCGAGAAAAGATGCTTCAAAGCTCCAGTGTTATCGATGCAAATATATGCCACAGCTTGCAACCTGCAAGAACAGAGGAACGATAGGGCCAAAGGGGTTGCCATTGCCAAGGAAGATTGTAACAGAAAGTAAATATGTATATATGCCAAACTGGGATAAATCATGTAAGGTACAAGAAAGGTTGGACAGACACACATCTAAAAGAATGCAGAGCTGACTGAAGATAGCTGTGGTTCTCTCAGATCCTTATTATTTAGGTCTGATTCGGGAACCTGTGTCATTTCAGACAGGATTTAGACACCAGTTTTCCTGATTCTTTCTCATGGTTTTTGCCTTTTTGACCAACATTCAACTTAAAGTTTGGGAGTACTTACAGAGACACGTGAATTTCCAATGGCCATTAACAGGTTTGCATTAATTCAAGGGATTTTCATTGGATATCATGTCAAAAGAGAGGAGAAAAGGAGACAGAGAAAAATATAGTAGGCTAGGTCCTGCAAGAGGTGATGAACTTTTAACACGGCACTGGACAGTGCTAATTCAACCGGCATTAAATCAGAGTAAAGGGCCCTAAAGGCTTCGGTGGCTACTGGTTCAAGCACAGAATGCCCAAAGATACTTGAAAGGCCATAGGATTATCTCCACTCTGTATCTCTGACACTGTCTCTATCACTATTGCAACAGAGAGTCAAGAGCCAGGAACTCTAATAGCCTATAGGAAAGAGACTTTCACTGTGGGAAGAAGCCTGGAGAGGATGCCCCCAAAATGCTTTGATTTGGTTATTCCTCCATGATCTGTTTTTTATTGCATATAGAAGAGGCCCATGGCAGCATGCTCCCAAGGACAGAAGCTTTCTTCTCCCAAGCATGAATTCTCTACTGCTGCAAGTCATACAACTTATGCCTGCACTGAGTAGGACCCAGTGACTTCAGGAACATTTCCCACCAGTCTCAGAATAGGAACAGGGATCCAAGAAGCGAAGAACTGCTATAACCAGTGTCTTTGGAGAAACTCTCAAGATGCAAAACAGAGTTTCCAAACCGCATTTCCTTCAGGGGCTGCGTTCCTCTTCACGAAGCAGCATCCTCTGCATGGACCTTTGGCATGCCATTACATTGCCATTGCTACAAAGCAGATTTTTATTTTTTTTTACTATGAGGTCTGCATTTTAAATTAATATCTTCATTCTCAGTGTTGCACTTTTGAAAAATGCCTCTAGTACAGATGAAGTGTCTACTGTTCCTTTGACCATTGCCTCATTGCTTTGATTTGGAGAACTAAAGATACTCAGGTTAAGTAGCCATTGTGTACCATTCAGCTTTTATAAATGAAATAACCATGCATACAAATCATTTAAAGGCAGCCATTGCTTTCATTAGTACAAATTAATTGACAGAACAACACATATGCTTTTTTCTTTTTTTTTCTTTCATTTTTATTTTGTAATTAATGGGATTATAAAAATATGGTCCATATTGATCATTTTTACGGCTATTTTATCAATTTTCCTTTCATTTTAATTAGTGCAATGGGAAGAGAGCTGTCCAGAAACTTTTTTACTCTAAGATTTGTCAGAAAAAAATATAATTTGATTTCATGCTTCAATAGCAAATACAATTTGAGCCATAAGAGGAGTTAAAAAAAGCACAAAGGACACATGCCTAGGAATAATAGCTATAATAAGAAGTCCATTTTTATTCTGTTGCTCATGCTGTATAGTATGACAATGCAATAATGTGGTTAATAAATATTTTACTGCTTATATTTTCATTAAGTTGTACAATGCAAAAGATTCCTAAGCTGAAATGTAATTCAGTCTTGAAATGTAATTTGTATTGAAAATTGAATTTGAGAACTCACTTTTCTTTCAAATAGTAGGTTCTTTGGGTCTTTTGTATTGCATATGCAACAGCACACAGTACTGCAGGTCTGGATAACAATTTGCAACGAAAATAGATAACATTTCCAGCACCATGATGGTGGTGGAATTGCTTACTTTGGGCACGGGAAGAAAGGGGATTACATTCAGAAATTATAGTAAAGGTATTCTTTCAAGTGATTCAACATGCCATATAGAAATACATTTATCTAATAATCTTTCTATTGATGTGCTCATTTTTTAGCATTCTTGAAAATTATCTCATTATAAGCTTCCCAGCATGTGCTTTGCCTGCTACAGACTGCATCCTTTCTGCTCTCAGTGATGTTTGTGTTCATAATGAAATGCTATGCTGTGCTATGCAATTCTATGCATGGACAAAAATATCGGATTATCTTAACGTTTCACAGCCACAGAAGTTTATAACTACTTTCCATTTCATGTAATTACATATTAACACAGTATTTTCAGAGTGCAGTAGGTTAAACATCTTAGAACCACATAGTCCGTGTTAGCATTAGTTAATTAGGTGCAGAATCCATTTTGGTTGAAAACATCTTACAGGCATGCAAAAATTAAATGCAAAGATTTTGACAGTAACTTCAAGTACAGTTATAATTTGCAGGCAGACAGTCTTTGCTACAGGTGTTTTAAAAGCACTCCCATAGCCTACGCCAGGGCAGTAGGACAGCAAGACCCGGTAACATCATACCATGAGCAGCTACTGCATTGCTCCCACCATCTCTCTTCTTGCAAGAGCAGGACCACTGATCAAGACCGTTCCCTTGTATAGGTGATTGAACTTCACCCTGCACACAAAAAAAGGTTTCCAAACCTTGGCATTACACTTCCTTCCTGTTCCCCCTGGTGTCTTCTGCCACAGGAAGAGAGAAATAAATGCAAAAATGTTAAATAATGAAAAAGCATAGGCAGATATGGTGACCACAGGATGTTCATCAAATACATTTAAACAGGAAGAAAGGTAATTTAAGCACTAGGAAGTAGAAAGTCTACGTATCCCACATTTAGCTGTCTGGGGGGGAGGAGGGGAGTGTTATAAGCACAGGAGAGAAAAATATCAGCTTACAATTGGCCAACTATAAGACCACAGGGCCACTATTGATCCAGCAGTCACAGTCATGAGATTCTCTGGACTCTAGTACCTGTCCTAAAGCGCCTGTCCAATACCACCTGCAGGTAGTCAGCTCCCACCTTAATCTTCAGCGACTTCAGCGAGCACACAGCGTATCATTACATTTCCATTAATTGGTCATCACGCTGTTTCTTGGATGTCTTGTTAATTTTAGTTTTGTCTTGTCCAAGTAAGTGCTGTAACAAGGAATTCTGGATATGAGTGATCACTAACAATGCATATGAAATGTTGCAAGTGCCACATCTTGAAAAAGCATGAGTATACTAATGATATTTTTGCCTGCTTAAAAAAAAAAATAAAACCACCAAACAATACTACATGGCATGCAGTAATAACAGAATACATTTTGTTCTTGTTTATCTGAAAATATGGCCAGAAATGCACTGAGCTGAATTTAAAATTCAAGGAATAAAAAACCAAAAATCTTAGTGATTAATCTATAATAATTGGGTGAAATTTGTTTCTGTTTGTTAATTTCCTTTACAAGGTTATTCTGTCGTGTAAGACAGACTGCCATTGATAATGCCTCTATCAAAAAACAATTAAACAAAACAGTTTCATTCCCAAATGAAATATACACAATGAAAATAAAAGTGTTTAAGAAACAGATTCACACTATTGAGAATTTTTAGAAATTATTTTTGATTATTATACGATAGGAAAAAGAAATGGAGTGGAGGAACTATGAAATAAAATGTAGTTCTCTTCTTCACAGTCAAAAGCTAAGTTTTAAGGAGCGGGTCCGGATGGCCAGCCCACGAGGTCAAAGTATAAAGAACCGGCAGTCTTCAGTCGGAGATCGCCGGTCACCAAGTGCCGACATTGCCACCGAGGGCAGCCCAACCAAAGTCCAGAAGAGCTGGAGCTTCAATGACCGAACCCGCTTCAGGCCCTCGCTGCGGCTGAAGAGCTCGCAGCCCAAGCCCGTGGTCGACGGTAGGAGCTTTTCATGCTTCGTTTGCCATTGCATACTGCTCTCTGCCTGCTCATGCTCTTGCACACCTGCACTGTGAACCCAACTCATTTTTGGAAGGCAGAAAGAAATGTTATCGGGGTGCAGAGACACAAGAAAGCTATAGCCTGCTTCAAAGAGCATACCAATGTGATTTTTTTTTAATAAGGAATCTTGTGTCAGCGGTGCAAAGGGAGCAGGTGGTGGAAAAGGGGGTCACTGTGGAAAATTGCATGTGGACTAAACGCATCCCACAGGTTCGGTTGCAGCAGCTCTGCCGCCGCGGCCCCTCTGCCATGGGCGCAGCTGCTGTCCAAACCTGGTGCCTCTCACACCACAGTGGGCCCCTCACCGTGGCCAACACTGCTCTGGTTGCGCCTGTGCCAGCCAAGAGCACAGCTTGTGTGGCACGGGTCCCCTCAGGCAGAGGAGCTTGCTGAGGAGCAGGGAAGGAATACCTCCACCGGGGACACAGTCACCTGCCACCAAGACAGATGCTACTGGGTGCTTTAAGTTTTATGGGGTTGTACTCAGTTCGGTAAGACAGGTGGCTTTAGCAAACATAACCAGCATTATTGCTTTTATATATTGCTTTCTAAAGGGTATTTTAGATGTAGGAAAGACTCCTAACATGTGAAGAAGTGTGTCTGTGAAAATGGCTCGCTGACCCTGCAGCAGGCAAGAACATAGCCTCTCCCACATGCTGACTCCCGTGCTGCCCCTCTCTGCTCTCCGTTCACTAGCTAAGGTCCTCTCTGGTGTTAAACTAGCCACTGTTCAGGCAAAGCTCTTCATCGGCAAAGGCCTGCCAAAACAGAGACAGTGACTCCCCTAACCGGGAGCACCAGAGTGGTGCAAGCAGCCCCCCGACAGGCAGGAGCCCAGAGCACCAGATGAGCCCAACCCCTGCAAGGGACGGGTCTAGCACTGGAAGGATTTGGGTTTCTCCATTCACATGCTTCCCAACTTACGAACATTTTGTCCTTTCTTGTGGGACCCCTAGGTAGAAAATAAGGGAAACAAACTGATCAGCTACAACAGCAGGCAGTGACCCTGACTGCACGGGAAAGGTACAATATAAATCATTTGATCCAAGTAAAGAGACATAACTTTAAACTCTTTCTACAGTGGCAATCACGCATGTTACATCCAACAATTGTGGTAAAACTAATTAGACAGAAGTGCGATTTTGGCGTTTGCTTCCGTTTTAAGACCATATATTATCACAGACATGCAGGTTGCAAAATACCCATTGAACTGAAATGCCCCATCCCTCAGCTGAGGACATCCTACGCAACACAGTTCTTCAGGAAGAACCTGGGTAAATAAACATTTCCTGGAGGGCAAACAAGATGAACCAACAGTGTTTGCTAAGGTCATTTTTCCAGGCTAGTCCTCACCCGCAGAGACCTCTCAGACGCACGAACCCTGAACCTGGCTGCCGGGGGGTACCAGCCACCGGGCTGCTGCCCAGGTTGCTCACCACTCCTCGCTCCGTCCTGGGGCACGGGCCCTGGCTCGAGTCCCATGGCAGCTACCGCACCGCAGCTGTGTGATGCTGGCCTGGGTCTCATGCTGGCGTGGAGCTGGGACAAGGCCACTTGCTCCACAGTGGGAAGTGAGGAATGCTCTAGGTACCAGAGTGGCATTGAAGCTACCCTGTCTAATCTCAGTCTTCCTACATAACCGCTTCTATAGCGTGAATATCTCCCCAAAACCCCACCAGAAGTGATTTCATAGGTTAATTGCCTGTAACTTGCACTGTGCCTGGAAGTGACCTAAGAAGAGAGTAATTTGTTGAGCATACTCCTGGGGTATCAGCAGCTCACTTCTGCTCCAGGCCTGCAGCCTGCACCTCACTCGAGCATCTGTTTAGTTTTTCATCAGCCCATTTGTCACAGAAGCATTTCCCCAGCCTGTCCAATTTGTCCTGTATGTATTGTCATTAACAGCAACGATCTTCACGAGAAGACCATGTTCCCACTTACTGCCTCCCTTTCACGGAAAAGGTGGCATAAAAGGCACCTTGGGTATATCTGTAGATAAAAGATAATAATAACAACAGAGCATTTACTGCTGTGCGTAAACCCTTAAAGATCTTCCCGCTCCTCAGGGCAAGCGCAGCCTGTTTCCTGGTCAGCGGTTTCCAGCTACTAGTCCACCCTTATGAACTGGGGCCAACAGATATGACCAATTTCTCATCCGTGGCAGAAGGAACAGCTTCCATTGTCTCCAGCTTTTAGGCAAATGCCAAGTTTCCACTCTGGGACCTGGTCCAGCTACTTCTAGGACTGGTATCATCAGAGAGATGTCCAGCATGCTCACTGCTGAGAGGCAGCTCCCTGCTGCCTTACCCAGTCCGTTGCAGGAAAAGTTAGGCGCTACCAACCTTGACTTCTTTTTTTTCAGTATGTTACCAATTTCAGAGTTTGATACATTGTCTGCATTTGACTGCTCAATTAAAAAGGATCTGGAGATGATGTGTTTAGTTTAGAACATCTTGTATTTTTCACTAGATGAAAATACAGTATTTGCAGCAGTTTAGTAATATCTCTTGGTTGTCAGGTCCTCCAGTTTCATCCTTGAGGTATTCTCCAGCCAAAGTATTAATTATTTTGGTGGGCTGATCTTCAAGCCAAACTCGAAGCCAGTCCTCTCTGGATGAAAGTCTGGACACAAAACAATACCCTTGAACAGCCGGTCCTTCTGGTGATTCTTACATCTCTGTAGCATGTTTGAAGGGAGAAGAAACGATGTTTGCAATAGACCTTTTGGACTGTGACAGCATAGTACTGAGTACCCAGTCCAGTGTCAAAACTTTATATCAGTGACCTAATGGAAAAATAATAAACTCTTACTATGAACTTCCCCTTCCAAAAGAGAAGACACTCAGATATTTACTTGATTTTTCTTTCACCGTATGGGATTTGGGGTTGTAAATGATCTTTCATTAGCACAGGCAAAGGAGGAACTACCTCACTATGAAGGTGATGTGCACTGAACTCTGTGTAAAAAGAAAGCAAAGGAGCAAATATATAAGCAGAGGGTTCAGAAAGGAAGAGAAATTGTTGGCGTACGAGGATGATGTAAGGCAGATAGACAGTCAACACAGCGACTTTGCAGGGCTGACTGAGTTCTGATAAAGGACATGGTTGGAATCTAGATGAAAACCATCAGAAAGAGACTGCCAGAAAAACTAAACGTTAGCAATTAGAAATTGGCCCGTAAAGGGAGGTTTCTAATCCAGACAGGAGCTTATGGAGGCAGCTAAGAGGCTAACACCACTGAACATGTAGTAGCCTTCCTCTTAGGCTACCCAGTAACAAAAGTTACTAACGCTCCCCCACTGCATATTAAAACCACCGAAGGAGAGTTTCTTGGCAGCAAGCAAAACACTTAAGCTGGCCACAGGTATCTGCCAAAAGGATTTTGGCATAGCAGCCTTACAACAGTATGACCAAAACTGTTGCACAAATGGCTTTATTTCTGGGGAGCCACAGTCCTCTGAAACTGCCTATAAACCATTTATTACTGTTGCCAATGTGGGTCTGGCAACGGCAGCAATTATTTCAGCTGCATATGTGCATTTGCAAATGGAATCCAAACCTGAGAGAGCTTTGATGGCTGGAGAGGTCTTTGGTGGCATGGCTGCAGATGCTCTCTAGAGCATTTAACAACAGCGCAGGGCAGTGAATTTGAAAACCAAGACTTATAAAATCTGACTTTAAATACATGTCCAGTCTCTGGTGACATGTGGCTCACAACCACCAGCACTCTGTTGAAGAAAAGACCCTGTACAAATTAACAAAAGTGCCGGGATCCTGTATTTCCAGTCCCTGTTATCAGTCTAAAAGGGAATTATCGGGACCAACAGACCAAAGGGGAATCTTCACCAATCAAGAATGGTAAATAGTGAAGCTTTACAAAGCGCACACTTACAAGGACGCAATAATCGTATAGCATTGTGCAAGAGCCTCCCCTGAAGGGATGCCACGTCACAAGGACAAAGGTGCTGCCTGACCTCGGAGCTGCACATAGCCACCCCCACACCTGTACACAACATGAGCCAGGAGCCACCTCCATCCTTGTGGCCTCCTCATCCATCACGGCTTGTGTCCCTGCACCAAAAACAGGGAAACCACAGCCAAACTGTCCACGGGGAATGGCCTCCGGCACATCAGAATACCCACTGGCACTGGCAGGGGCCAAACCCATGCCAGAGACTGTGCAAGCACTTAAATCGTCCAGGTGATCTCATGCCATTGCTTAAGGCGCCGTGCCCGTGCCTCATTGTACGTAACATAGATCCAGCCTTGGAGACTCACCTCACAAAATCTCTCCTTTCCAGACACTGGTGTTCCTGCCTTGTTTTTTTTCTTTCTGCTTACTTCATTCTCTAAGGAACGGAACCTTTTCTGCTTAAACCATGCTCCAGTCTCACACCACCACAGGAGAAGTAATGAACTGATATTATGTTGTGGACGCAGTTCTCAGCAAGCGACAAAAATGCCCTATTATACTTGTTTTCTACCATCTCACGCTTCTAAGCTTCTGCATGAGTTATTGTGCCTTTACTGTAACCTAGAGACATTGTGTGGCTTTTTGCATAAAACATCAAAAGCATTCAGCACTGGAGATATTACAAACATAATTCATTTGATTAGTTAAAAAGAACTCTCTAAGGAAATATTTGATTTCTTGCACCATCCCTGAACATTATACGCTCACACGGCCTCTAGCCTTTCATTCCCTACGGAGTACTTGCACAAAATCCTTGGGGTAGAGTATATTATAAGAGCCATGGAAAGAATGCAATTGTGCATTTCGGCCCCCATGTCCTCAGTTACTACCGTGTAATTTATGTATTGCAAAAATGACAGGTTTTCTTTCAGTAGCACAAACATCTTGACCTTATATAAGGTTCGCTTGGTGTGGCAAAGGTCCTTGGTTTGCTTGCTTTTACTTCTCAGTTAGCTTAAATTTG